GCCTTGGCAGCGCCATCGCCTTTAACTTCGCCTACAACTGGTTACGAAGCCACTATATGTGAGGTCACCCCTCACAACTGGGACCTCCCCTTCAAGCCCCTGGCCATCCTGCCTTCAGTCGAGTAAAAATGGACCAGCGAAAGATAAGTCGATAGCGTTATAGCAGCGCCAAAGATGTAAAACTTATTTTGTTATTTTTGTAAAATTGTAATGTAATGAAAATGCCTTTTTTTTTTGTTAAATAAAATCTGTTAAATTTTTGTGTTCTGTTTGTTCTTCTATCCTCCAGCCATGCCATGGTCGACACACAGCTACACGCCTGTAGATGTCTTCATGCCACCGACTGAGCTACCGGAAGCTAATGGTAACCCCCTTTCTGTGATTGTGCAGAAAAGTTGGAATCTTCATTGCATTCCATCTTTTCTGGACTTTTTGCGGAAAGGAAGTGTTACAAATTCTTTACCTCAGAGCCTGACAAGGTTAAGTTCAAATAAGTAGTTTTGAGATTATTTGTATTTGAAATATTTTTCTTGTATTGTATGTGACTTGACATGAGTTAAAAGGTTGTCAACTTCCTTATTATTAGAGATAGATGGACCCTGCGAGTAGCAAATGAAAATTCACAATATTATCGTAAGTTTAACATGTTGAACTCACCTTTGATAAAAATGAACTCAACCTAGTCTGGCTTTGGAATACAGAATTCGAATCTTCTCTTGATAAACAATGAACCCTCCCTAAAATGCCTACATATTAATGTCTGAGTGCCCCCTCCCCTCTTTTACATACAGATTGTCAAAAATTTCATGACTTCAAGAAAAAAATACGGAAATAGTGTTAAGGATTCCGTTAATAACCAGAATTTTTAAACTGACAACGTTGACGAGCGCTGTTACCATAGTTATCTTTATATAGAGATGGTATTTTTGGATGTTACCGTTTTGTAGCTGGCTGTAACTGGATACAACCTTGGTTCAATAGATCGTTTGGGGCATGAACCTTATTAGATATTACAGAAGTCCACAAAGTAGATGTGGTAAGAATTTAAACAAATTATTGGTATAAGGTCAACTTATATCTCTAGGACGTCGGCAGCTAGATCCTTACCCGGCGTGGAAAGCTGAAAAGCTACGTATGGCTGCTGATAATACATATCATGACGAAAAGATTTTCGGCAAATATTTTAACACTTTATATTTTGGAGGGGAGAAACCTTTTGGAAAATATTTTAGCGACATACACCACCCCTTGAAAAATCCGCATAATGGTGGCTTCAATTGAGAAAGGAACTTTTAAAGTAGTGGGGCATCATTGTTGACGGTATAGCATAGTTACATAAATACTTTGTATAAAAATAGCGATTTCACTATTGCATGTTTCGAAATGGTCATTGATAACTGTCTATTTAAAGCAATTTTTCATTCACACGATCGTTCGCGTTATCATTTAAACATTATGAATGAAAACAAGTAAGAGTATTTACAAAAATATGTATATTTAATACTTTGCCTAAGATACTAGAATCGTCGAAGCTATCAGATGAATATTACTACCGTAAATTTGATACAAAAAGTATGGAATAAGAGCACTGAAAACGACATGTTTAAATCCACCATGTCTTTCTAACAACTGAAGCTTGATGACATCAGTTACCAGTAGCAGCTTAAATGATTAGAAAATGGTATTCACTGTATACAGGATAGAGATGATAAAATGATTTTGCTCGGGGATACACTAATTCGTGTTCTCCCACAGCGCAATAAGTGACTGATGTCTATAACCCTTATGAATAATTTTTGTGCAGTGACTCAAATATAAAGGAAATGTAACATTTACTCACGTATCTCGCAAGACAACATACAAAATTGAAAAACTAGATTGTCGCACAGCTCTATTAGGTCTTTTTGTACAGTTATTTTAATTTTATTTATTGTAAAGATATTTTAATTTTATTTATTGAAATGAATGAAATGTTTTGTTCATAGATGTTATTTCAATCGGACATCTTGATACAAAATCAGATTATGTGAATAATTATAGAAAATAGCTTAAGCAGGTTATAAAAATAATGTTTAGCCTTTAGTAGGAAGTATGGGTGGATACCTAACTTGGACTAGAATCTCTAATTCTTCTTCTAAGCAGAAAGTGGAAAAGCTTGTCAAAATATTGCATTTTTTGTTAAAGGTTCTCTAGAAACCCTTTGCGTACCTAATGGATTTGGATTCGCTGCTATATCTTTGAAATGAGTTAGTTCAGAATCTGTGACCGAGAACTAGCTTTTCTCTAAAATAGTTAAGCTTATAGGAACCACAAGTCTCAATACGTTTTCTTTATATACTGAGTACCAAATTTGTCTGACGGCTTGAATTCAATGTGTACGAGAAAGGAGTGTGTATATGGCACATATACTAAGTGACATATAAATCCGAACACCCAGTTTAAATGGTTTTATTTTAATAAAATTTTGTAAAAGTACTAAATGAAGCATAATAAGTAAATGATAAAAATTTCAAAATGATTGCACTGCTTTAAAGCCCTTTGACCTTTAATAATGTGTGGATGCACCCTGATGTGCTACGCATTCTCCAACGCGCCTAGGCATGCTTCTAATCAGGTGGTCAATGTCCTCCTGTGGTATCTCATTCCAGGCAACCACCAACTCCTCTCGAAGTGCTTTTAGAGTCTGAGGAGGACGTTGCAAATTGAGCAATCTCCTACCCATCATATCCCACACGTGCTCAATTGGGGATAAGTCGGGAGATCTTGGTGGCCATGGTAACAATGTGACATCATTATGTTGAAAGAAGTCTATTGTGACTCTTGCAACATGTGGTCGGACATTATCTTGTTGGAAAGTTGGATCTGCCAGGGTGTCATAGGGTAAAAGATGGGGTTCTAGAACTTCGTGGATATAACGCTGCGCGTTCATGTTACCTCTGATGAAGGTTAAAGGTGACCTGGAACCATAAGCTATAGCACCCCAAACCATAACTCCAACAGTGTGATGAACATGTCTTTCAACAAAAAACTGTGGATTCCTCCTTTCACCACGTCGCCTTCTAACCCTGGCACGACCATCGTGCATGCCTAAACAAAATCGAGACTCGTCACTAAAGACGATACTGTTCCATTTCTGATCCCAGAGTGACCGTTGTCTGCACCACTCAAGGCGATTACGTCGGTGTTCTCGAGTTAAAGGGAGGACCCAGTGTGGCCGTTATGAAAACAAGCCAATACTTCTCATTCATCGGTAAACACTTCGCATGCCAATAGGTCTTCCGTGTTCTGCAAACCATTCATTTGCAATGGACCTGGTAGTGGAGAAACGGTCCCTTAAGGCCAATAATCTTAGGCGGCGATCTTCACGGTCTGTTGTTCTACGGCGGCGTCCAGTGCCCCTTGCTCTTTGCGTACGGCCTTCTCGAAGCCATGCCTGACAACACCTAACCACAGTGTCTACACTTCTTTGCACTCTAACTGCAGTTGCCCGAAAAGAAAGTCCAGCTTCCCGAAGTCCCACTATACGGCCCCTATCAAACTCACTAAGTTGACGAAATTGTACAGGTCTCCGTACTCTAGGCATCGTAACCGATCGTAAAGGATGTCAAGAATCAAAATCCGCCAACGTTGATTCTTTACTGCGGCTGAAATATTCATTTTTAGAGCGTTAGTGAATTAAAAAAAAGCAGTATAAAAACCGGAATGTCCAACTGATAAGGCTGAAAATTTTTTCACTTGTTACAGTAAGACATTCACCAACTTTTATTAAAATAAAACCATTTAAACTGGGTGTTCGGATTTATATGTCACTTAGTATATGTTAGAAAGAGATAGAAGCCGGCTGGATAGCAAAGCTCATCACCGCGTTGCCTAGCAATGCTGACCCGACAATCTGTGTCGTTGCCTATATGTTGCACCAATTCCTTGAATTAAGATGCTTGTTGAAAATACGCGTTAGTGTTAGTTTATTTTCTACGCCCAAATAATGGTTTCATTTTCAGAGTACACATTTTTGAATTGTGAATTGTGTCGAATCTGTTTAAAATCGATTCAGGATTGGTCCTACCGGCGCTCGATTTTAGGTCGAAATGGAAGGTCAGGACAGCCACAAATTCTGCAACATTGCATCATTGGTTCATTTGATAACACCGCACCATGTACATTCCAAGGCAAGGTTTCCACCTCCATGATCATAGTTGAGTGATTTTGGTCAGCACCCATCTGGCGCTCGTAGGGGAGTGTCGTCCTGGCTTTCACCTGCGTTCACGCAGGCAACGATAATAATAATTTGTATTGCATAACGTTATTTGTTACATTTTAAGACCGCAACGCTGTCGGAAAATGGACCAATAACTTAGGATGTTTTGATATCATCACCATAGGTGGAAATCAATGATAATTCTAAAAGAAATTAAAACACTACGTTGCATAAGAATTGTAATAATTAGAAAATTCTCATCAAAATGAAAACAAAATATTAAATTAAATGACCTCCTTCTTGGGTTTGACAGTAACCTAAACTATTATAAAAGACTGTGCGAACGTTTTCTGGTGTAACATATTGGCAACGCGCCAGATTACACGACCTTCTGTGTCACCGTCACTAGGTAGTATGGTAATGACCTTCGCTGTTCAGCCGGCTTCTATCTCTTTATAACCTGTATGATACGCTCTCGCGCTTCTCTCTCTTACACATTAAAGTCAAGCCGTCCGACAAATTTGGTTTTCCTATATATGTTAATACAGCATGCGATACCTTTTGTAAAACCATAAGACGTCTTCCTGGGCGAATCGAAATTGATCACTAATATATTTTTGACCTCCCCCCTGCCCTTCAATTTTCATAAGCCGATGCTCCCCCCGCCTCACCCCCGACATAAAGATCTCCCTGAACATGAATCCTGAGCGATTCGCCCAGAACTTTTTCTGGGTACGCCAATGTTTTAGGAAAATTGTTCCATCTTTGAACAGTACAACTCAATTCACATATTTAAACATACCTCTACTTAGTGGCCAACGTTACGTAGTTGTGATGCACCGCACTCTGTAGACTAGATGTCTCTGAAGCTCCCAGCGAACAGCTTCTATCGCGTCACAAACACAAATGCAGTTCCAATTCCGACATAGCAACAACAATAGTAGTAACGATAGTTTATATGCACTTACATGACATGCCTGACGCGAAATGCAAGGATATAGTACTCGTATATCAGCTGGGTGCTCGTTTTCAGTGGGACTGCGCTAGATGCATCCGCCAAGGCCACCCGACGCACAACAAGGGACCTAAAGTGATGGCGTCGGTGGCGTCGGTCAGAGACGTCGCGGCGCTATTTTCAGCCGTGGCGGCAGGCAGCGTCCAAAATGGCGAATCGATAATGCGAGTGTGGCGGGACAAGACGCGTGCAGCGCGTGCGACTACGGTAGCAGTCGGTGCAAGCGCATTCATACATGTGCGTGCATACGAAAAATTATAAGGGGGCTAAGCATGGAGCTTTTGACCGCCCATAACACTGTGCAAAGACGTCAGCAGGTGCGCAGCTACCGCCGTATCAGCCGTATCAATGACACAAAAAAGCTGGCAAGCATACAGTTTCAACGGCAATTATACGATTTTGAATACAGTAGAACCTCGATTATCCGAAATATTAAGGACCCAAGTGCTTTCGGATAATCGAAATTTCGGATAAAACGGAAATAAATATTTAGACTCATAATGCTTTTATTGGAAAAAGTAAATGCGTGTGTTAAGTGAGTATATACCTATATAAAGTTGCGTAAAATATAAACATGTGGATACAAACATACATATTTACGAGTATTTAGTAACAAAGGAAGTAGTTTTTAACTGTGCACGTTTTGCATTGTTCCTATTTTTGGCAGCAATATCCCTCCAACCTTTGATAAGTAGCACATTAGCTGCTGTCGCATTTTCTTATTGTTTGACGAATGTCACGCCTTTTGTAGAGCTTCTAATCTCTCAGAATGTGATATTTTAGCAGAGATTTCTGACTCATTGTCACTAGCATCACTTAAAACTGTCTCATCGCCATTGTTACAAACAGTTTTTATCAGTTCTGTATCAGTTAATTCTTCTACCAATGCATCACCATTAATCCACTCACCAACACCTGCTTGGGTAAGATTTTCACACCGTGCTATTGTTACGAAGAGCTCATGTAAGTTTTCGTTGTTATTCTCATAGTCTGCGCAAGGTTCCATTTTTTGCTTAATTATTGTCGACCAGGATTTTAGTAAAGTAGAATTTTTTACTTTGCTCCATGCTTCTGCTATCCAATATGCCATATTCTTCAGGTTAATGGTTAATCTCTTTTAAACAATCAACGAGGTTACAACCATTATCAACTTGATCTAAAATTTGCTCTAATAATAAACGTCTGTAATTGCGTTTTAAATTTTCTAAAACTCCTTGATCCATTGGCTGAATCAGTGACGTTACATTAGGAGGCAAAAACGTCACTCGTATTTCTCCACTTTTAAGTTGCTCCTCACTTGGGTGGCTCGGAGCATTGTCTAATAACTACACTTTCTCAGATATCCGCATTCATTTAAATATCGTTCTGTATTGGGAACAAAATGATTGTAAAACCAGTCCTTAAATAGAGTGGCATCCATCCAGGAATTTTTTTGATTTTTATGCCACACTGGTACAGCGTTGGGACGGACGTGTTTAAATGCTCTTGGTTTAGCTGATTTTCCGATTAACAACAAATGAAGTGTGTGTGTACGGGAAGCATTGCTACAAGCAAGAATAGTCACACGCTCTTTCTTGCGTTTGTGACCAGGAGCTCCAGATTCTTGTTTTGAAGGTAAACTTTTCGCCGGTAACATTTTATAGTTTAGGCCCGTTTCTTAATGCTTAATTAATTCTTTAAGGTGTTCTCCAAATTTTAATGTAGTGGATTTATCGACAGATAAATTTTCTCCGAAAACTTTTAATTCTCGTATACCGTTTCGTTTTTTCCATCTATGCAGCCAACCATCACTCGCTGTAGAGTTCTCAGGAGCCTCAATAACTGGCAATTCTTCACTTAAGTTGACTGCCTTTTGCTTCAGAATTGGTCCGGAAATCGGTATTCCACGTTCTCGATTCTGTATAAACCACAGATATAGAGCATCATCCACTTTTTGATATTTCCCCTTTTTCATAGTCTTCCGTGGCGGCTGCGATGATGTCAGAACACTATACCACCTTTCAATTTCTCGAGTTGTTTTTTCCATTCTGAAAAGGTACTCACGCCCAGACCCAAACCACTTGCCACGTTTTTAAGCACATCACCTCTATCTAAACGTCTGATTGCCTCAAGTTTATATTCTATGGTAATAACAACGCGTTTACGTTCATTTCTATGCTGCTCCATCTTAGCCATCATGAACCTGACTGAAACAAACATACACGCGCACATACCAGTGAATTCCGCAAACGCGCTTTTGAATATCACCTAAATACGCCAAACTATAAATTCTCAAACGTAAATCGCCTATTTTTGATCCTCCAGATTACAACTGTAAGAGCTGAAAGAAGCCTTTCGAAATTAAAGGTAAAACTAGGACTTCGAAGACACCACTATGACCATCAGACTTGCTACTGACTTAAGAGGCAGAAAATTTTGGAACATCAAGATCTCAGCTATGAAAGTTTTATTAAAAAAGCTTTCCATACCAACCAATTAAAAACCTTTGACACACAAATGCTATGTATCATTACTTTTATATGTAAGTCAGAGAATCAAAATTGTTGTGACTCATAATAATGTTGTTGATTATAGTCTAACCTAAAGAAGTCAGAAAGGAAGAAAGCAAATTTGAAAAATGTTTGGCTATGCCCAAAACCTACAATAGACAAACTTTGGGAATGTTCTGAAGATGTTTTGTTTTTTGTCGATAATACCACCAATTGAACGATTTCCAAAAATCTATTAGCACGTACAATGACCTCACTCATATTGCTCCCCAAATTCCATCGGTGTAGCCATTTCCGAAATAACGAGAGCAGAATATCCACAACATACAGAGCACGAATAGACAAACCAACCTACATGTTGTAAACTTCGGACAACATAAAATAGTAAAAGACAAGACATCTTGGAGCGTTATAGTAAAAATCAACACTTAGTCAATACGTCATTTATTCATATTATTCAGTGGAAGCTTTTTTTTGAAAAATCTTTACCTCTAATTTTATCCTCCCTCTGAGATTAGACAGAACTGGGCAGGGCTTCCTACAAATTGTTATATGGGGCTCCTTAGGAGCAAGCTACTACACCACTGGACTCCAGGGAGGCTTGTCTAGTTTCTGGTATTACAGCAGGAATGTGAATTAATCTAGAATATACAAAGGAACACCTCAAATGACACAAATGATTTCTATTCATCTGTCTTCAAAAAAAATAAACAAATTCCGGACAGCCAGGCTAAAATGAACGTATCCAAATTACAATGGTTCTTCATGACGCCGGTGGTAGTAAACATTGAGTCATGATAAGCCTTGCTAAAAAAAACTCCTCGGTCTTTTCTAGAAAGTTATCTCTTGCCGATAATCCACCCCCTTTAACTACGTGGCATTTCATATTATTCAATTCAAACATTTGTGTTTCTTTTGTAAAATCTATACTGCAAATTATATCCTTCATTTGGGATCCGCTACAGTTGGGTAGGGCTCCCTCTCAAATTTTGATATCAGGGCCCTGAGGAGCAAGCTACGCCACTGCACAAAAGATGCGCTGTTTTCGAGATCTCAGTTGTGTCATATACGGGATAAAGTTTTACCCCTAGTAGACCCCAATATCTACGGCGCTTACGTTAAGTTTATTTAGGTTACAATTAAGCTTAAGACGGTTCAGTAATTTACGGTATATTTAGAAACTTGTAGGTTGTCCGTTTAATGTTTTTAATTGAAGATTATTTACTTTCGTTAAATGGCGGCTAAGTGATATATTTATGTACATCATCACTTATATTGACGGGCTTACACCATTAATTGAGTACAGAAACGGACTTACCAGAGTGTTTATATCCAGTTATCTTGAACAAGATACGTACGTCTTGGGAGAAAGAACTTTCCAGTCTCTTTCGAAGCGAAAAAATATAAGAAGGGTTGAGAAATGTGTCTAAATTATCAAATCACTCAATACTACAAATTTAAGAAGATATGATATTATTAGATCCATGAAAGGAAAATGTTGAACTCATTCATGTTGTATTATTTGCTACTTTGTCTCTGTGGTGGTCGAATCGACTGACTGACTAAACGTCTTGTCCCATGGACTGCCTTAGTAACAATTGACGAATCGGCGACTGTTTTAAGAAACCCTAGCTGGTGTTGTAAATTCAATTCTTGGTTTCAACTAATTGTTAAAGCACGATAGACTGGGTTCATTATAATAGGCTATTTCTATTCTGACAATGTAAAAACTCTATGCTGATGAAACAATAGACAATCATGTGAATGTTTAGATCACACAATCGGAACAATAATGCCTTCATTCACTTCCTCGGCCTAGGAAATCTACTGTGCGTGAAAATTCTCATAAGGCAGTTGTACCGTTATGTCTTTATAACAAAAATAACGGCTTTGTTACGACACAGGAAGGATATCGCTGTATAAAGTACCGCACTATAAGAATACGGTATGAGGCAGTCACAATAATGAGGAATAGGTATAAACACCAAACAACGAAAATAACAGGGTAAAACCGCAGCTTCGGAAACAATATAGGAAAAAATGTATAAAATAATCATGCAGATCTAGTAAATTCATACGTACAACAACGACAATGAGACAAAGAAATAGTACAAATGTAAGCACTAATACTAAGTAGAATAATCCAAATTGGTCATAAGCACGTGACGTCACAATTAAAACTTGAGGGCAAAAAACTTGCGTTTGTAAATCAATATTCACTTTCGGCGTTTTCCAGTTTCTCTGCAAATTGTGTTACGATTTCCTAAGACAAAAATGTGATCTTTGCAAAAAAGCTTACTTAGGGTCGATTCCACCAAGATTGTCAAATTAACAGTGCGTTATTCTCCACCTATAGGGTAACAGTCCGTCAAATACAACGAATGAGCTTCAAGTTACAATCAACAAATTTTAGCAACCAATAGCTATGAAATGTTGAAAACAAAATACTGTCAAAGTATGAGATGATAGCTTGTCATTGAAACGTCACCAGCTTATTGAATATTAAGAAATTACATATAATTCAGTCAACATTTAAAGAAATGTTTGATTTTTGAATTAAATTAATTGTTGATTTTTTATTCATGTTTATATTATTTGATTCAGTTGATATGCGATTTTACTGATTCAACGGGGTGTTTTGTCCTATAAACCTCTTGCAGATAGCCATTAAGCACCTACTTGATGACACGCTCTACCAAAAGATATTGCTCGTTTCCAAACATTCATT